TACCGACTGTACCGTTTTTCTTCCAATTCCAGACTAAGGACACCAATGGCAATTCGCAGTGCAGTCCCTCTCGCGCCGACGGCAGATACCCGAAACTGCCTATAGTGTCGGCCTTGCGCCTTGCGCAATTGCGCCGCTTTCCGGGCAATGCGCCCTCCTCAACACATCGCGGTGGCCACCGGGCAAGGATACTGCAGCAACTGTTTGGCGCTCACCCACGTCACGGAAGAGTGTGACTCCCGGGGAAAGACGTTGCAAAAAGGCGCATCATACTATGCTGCATCCACCAGAGTCGCAATATAGCGAACCAGCGACAACAACAGCACCCGCAGCAGCCAAAAAGAAGACGAAGACTTTCCACCCAACACCGTGCCGCCCAACAACATGCCACTCAACAATGTGCCACGCAGCAGCGGGCCACTAGAAAAGGCACTGATGAAAGGTTGCGGTCGATAGCACACACCACCACCGAGCTGCAAACTAAAGCGTTCCGAAATCGGACTACCAAGGGCGCTGTAGGTGAAGCCATCCGCGCCCTGCAAAAGCTGTAGAACGCACTAGCCAGAGCATCCCTGCAGGGCGGGCAGGATGTTTAAGCGCGCAACATTAATAACAATTGTAAACGCCGTGCGCGCCAACTTCGGGTTTCCCGCTCTTCCGTGTGTCCGCGGTAGTTCGACCTAACAAAAAAGGGTACACTTTAACACAATCTATCCAACCACCTACGCGCGCGCACGGCGTAATTTATCACGGCATCTCTATAAAATTGTGAAAATAATAGGGACGTAAAAATTAATTATTGGAAGGGCATTTCCCTTAACAAACCCAAATTGTGAACCCAATTATACTTAAATAAAAAGTCAATAAATTAGTTGAAGTGTTTGTGCTCACAAGACCCAAAAAAAACTACTTTTATTTTTCTCGGCCGATTGGCAAAAAAATTAGAGCAACTTAAATAGCCGGAGTTGCAGAGGTGGGTCATGGCCTACCCGAATGGTCGACAATCATTAGTAATATTCCGAGGTGTAACATAAAAAGCCAGAAAAATTAAACAGGGGGTTCTGCAGGGTGGTGGCCTCTCCCCGCTACTATTTAATTTCTACATCTCAAAACTCCCTCCACCACCAGAACGAGTTTCCTAACCTCTTATGCCGATGATTGTACAATAATGGCGTCTGGCCAGGATATTGATGATCTCTGTTCGAAAGTGAACGGCTACCTCGCTGATCTCTCCCACTTCTTCACTGCAAACAAGCTACAAATTCAACCGACGAAATCCTCGGCTACCCTCTTCACCAGCTGGACGAAGGAGTACAGGCTTGCACTAGGTGTGAAGGTCGAAGACACAAAAATTCCGACGGTAAATAACCCAAAAATATTGGGAGTAACCCTAGACAGCCTGCACTCCTTCACTCCGCATACGACCGCAATTGCCGCGAAACTCCACAGCCGCAACAAAATACTCAAAACGCTAGCCGGCAGCACTTGGAGTAAAGACAAAGAAACTTTGCTGGCTACTTACAAAGCAATTGGCCGGCCGGTCGTAAACTATGCTGCACCGATCTGGGCGCCGGGGACGAACGAGATGCAGATGAAGAAGTTACAGGCTTGCCAGAACACCGCCCTCAGGACCGCGGCAGGAAACCTCCTGATGTCACTTGCACAAGGAGGCATCTATCTACTGCTTTCTGTGCAAGCAGTTCCTATTGCCATGCTACCGCAGGGAGCACCCCAGTAGGCACCTAATAGAAGCTGAACCTCCACCTAGGCACATCAGGAAGGGAGTACTAGACCCAAAGGACACAATCCAGCAACATGTACAACAACCGCTGGCCAGGACGGCGTACCGACAAGCACTGAACGCCATTCACTAGGAGTCAGTCAACACCTTCAAGGACTCCCTTCCAGTGAATGGCGTACTCGGAGAAATATCACCACCCATAGCAGACAACGAGCTCGAGCTGCCTCGAAAGACCCACGTGACCCTGACACAACTCAGGTCTGGATACTGTAGCAGGTTAAACTCCTACTTATCCAGACTAGGCTTCAGCATACCCAACGCATGCCCTGCGTGTGGAGTCTCTGCACGACACTAACCACCTCTTCACCTCCTCTTCTAACCCCCCTCTCCCTTTGGTCCAACCCCGTCAAAACAGCTCTTTTCCTGGACCTACCATTAGATGACCTCGGCGAATTAGACTGATCAAACCTGTGCTTAAGCGGGGCTAGTGAACTGCTACAACAACAACAACAGGGTAATTATCAAAAATATTTCTGTCATGTCGAGAACCAGGGCATCTGCATGCAAAGTCCATTACTTCCATTTTACAACTACCCTGTTTTGGTTCGAAAACCTTCGACATTTTGTTCTCCAGGTGATTGGATTCAGACATTAGTGCAATCTAAACACCCCAACACCTTTGGAAACTCGATTTTCGGTGAAATGTGCGCATTGTGCTCTCAATTTCCCTGCTTTTTTAGGTATTCTGAGAACTCCATTTTGTACAGAAAATTCAGTTAATGGAGCAGGTAAAGTAGAATAGTCGTTTATCATCTTGCAGCAGCAGCACATCTCAAAAATATTCAACAAAACAGCGAGGTACAACTGCATTATGATATTGTTAACATTATGGTTCGAAAATTAATCTTTAATTTAACTTAGACGTCTTTCTACTTCAAGGGAGCTGCGATTACGACGGAGGCGTTTGTGGAGCTAAATCATCAAAACACGACACAATTAGAGACGGTTTTGCATACAATATTTTGCAGATTTTTGAAAATGAGTTTATTGCTACATTATTACTTTTTTGTATGCTATATAAACCATATAAATGATCTATGTAAAATAACGGAATAAAGACTGAAATTTAATAATGCTTGTATATATGTATATATGTAGGGAAAATTTTTGTCAAAGCTGATTTCCTTTGGCATCAATGCTGAAGCTCATATGTGTTCGTCTTGTACGGCACATCTGCTGTTTTTTTTAATTCCATATTGTTTTCTTTTGGAATCAATGCTGCCGCTCAGCTGTGTTCTGTTTGTCCGACAAGAATGACAAAAATGCAGAAGGAAACGAAGAGGGAATGACGTACACGTATACAAATGTAAAAACCACGTTTGTCATTTCGGCCTTAAGAAAGGGATAGGAAAATCGTGCTACGAGCTGATGGGATATGTCGTCATGCATTCCTGACATATGTTGGCTCAAATGATCGGAAGCCTTCTTGCAGGGGAGGTAACAAACAAACAGCTGTTCAAATTTGTGTTGTTGATTTATGAAAAAATAAAAAACCAAAATGTATAGACATATTTTACGTCTAGAAATAATCGAAGATAAAGAAAAAAGACTCATCCAGTTTGCGAAAAAAATTGGCCATTTTAGTTTAACATACAGCACTTTCACCTGAAAAAAAAATAAACAATTTGTTGAACTTATAAACGAATTTGCACCATATGACAATGGAGTAGACGTTCATTTGCATAACTAATTTTTTTAGACAGAAGACATCGTTGCCGTTTTATTTGAGGTTTCTCTCAACAACAAATTTCTTTTCCCACGGGTCATATCAGGAATTCGTTGGAAGCAATTGTCTAACTGCAATGAGCCAACCTAATGTTTTGCGGGCACTGCACTATATTTCAAATATGATTGTCAAAGTAAAGCAACAACATATGAAATGCCAATATATAAATGAACACTCTTCTTTTTACTTTACTAACTGTCAAATGTAATTTGATATGGACGAAAAAAGGAGTACGGCCAAAGTTTTTTCAAACATTGTAACCAACTCGCCAGAATACCAAATTCAATTTCGGATGTTAAAAATAAGTAAAAAAAATTACTATACCGGTAACAGTGAGAATCGAGGTAACAAAATTTACTTTCGTATTAAAATTAACCATTCAGTAAATTTTGTTACTATTTCGTATTCTGAGTTCACTATCACCCTGTAAATTTCGTTACCCGCGAAATAGAGGGTAACAAACAATCTGCTGTTTTATTTTGTATTGTTAGTTTGAGAAAAAACAAACACAATAATGTGTTTAGGTCTCGGATTTATTGCAGATAAAAAAATGCAAAAAGGCGTTTGTAAAGAAGTTTGATGGAAAAGAATGACAACTAACTACCCGGAGTCAGATTCGACAGCCTGCACTCCGCATACGACTGCGACTAAAAAGATCCCGATTTCTTCAAAGCCTCACTTGCACTGCGAAAGATCTATACTGCGAGTTAAAGAGCATATGCTGAGCTGAGCGGGCAATATTTTCTGGGATGCCATTCACTGAGAGTCCCTTATCACCATATTGAAATTTTTCCTCCGAAGGGCGTTAACAGGTTCAACGACAGTTTAGTTTTTATACCGGAAGGACTCGGATTTTTATCCGGCCAAGGACTGTCACTGCCCCAATATTCCTTATAGAGAAATTTTTGTGCGCCTACAACAAAAACTCGCCGTTAGAACATCACTTACATAATGCAAATACTGTGCCATTTTTAAGTGCTTTGCATAAGTGGTATCAAACATGTCTTGCATAAAATGTAGTATTAATGTTGTTTAAGCGCGCGATAAACAAGACGCCTTCATAATATTTTGGACACACACTAATGCGCCTTTGGCCTATATAAGCCGTGCTTGCCAAACAAATCAGCGAGATTTCATTTCAATACAACGGCAAGCGCGCACGGAGCGAGAATATTTAAAATTAAGATAAATTTATATACGATATCATCCTATTAATTTATGTTCATAAATATTTTGTAAACAATATAAACGAACATTTATACAGTTACTTTGCCACCTAACATTAAGCTTTTTCAAATTATCGTTAATTTAATTAAAATAAACATACATATGTACACATATATAAAAACGAATACACGAGTGGCTTTTTTATTTCGAAGGAACTCGAAGAAGGTACCTCGCGTAAACAAATGTATTTACAGTTATTTAAGATAATAGAATGTATAATCAGTTTCGGAAATAAAAATTGCTCTCTAAAAGCGTTCAAACATATTTAAATACATGGGAGTATTGAAATTGTTTGTGTGATCTATTTATATCTATGGACAATATGTATAGTAATAAAAAATATGTATTTTTAAAATTATTAATCTTTAATTACAATAAAAAAAAGCTTTTAAGCCACGTAAGTATGCTAGCGCCTTCTCTTGTTGCCATGTGCTGCAGTTCATTTTTCAAGACAAAATTTCTTAAACGATTTCTCTATAAGTCTAAAGTATTTCCTCGATTAAACTTAAGGTATTTTTCTGGAAAAATAGGCGAGCAGCTTTAGCGGAACTTTCAGTTGTTAATTTTTCACAATTCACGGAGTCTTTTTCAGTACTAAATTATAGTTCCAAAACTTAAAAATTTAGTTTGTAGTTAACAATTTAAACAAAATATGGTTTCTTCTTTTTTAACTTCATAATTATAATAACTTATTAAGTCTTGTTCTCAAGAAAAGACTTACATTTCTGTGCGCATTGTAAGCATTATAAAAAATATATTAATTATAATTTGAAATAGCTTAGAACATTTATTCAAAGATTTCAAAGCATTGATAATTTCGCGTTGATTTTGTGCTACAAACGGTCACCGCAAGGCGCAAGAGATTTAAACGATTTTTCTTTTTCTGTCTCAGTTATCGCATCAGACAATGAATTCCGCTTGCAGTGGGTACCTGTTGTACAATTCTCTGCTGCGAGGTTTTTACTTATATTTGCAGAGCTTATGTTTCGGATGGAATTTTGATTAAATTTGTTGTAATTTTCAATTGAGCCCATAGCATCAAACATGTGGCTATTTGCAACTACTGCATTTTTGTACGAGGTCTTTTTCATGCCGATTCCCAATGAAGTTGAGGAAGTGTTCATTGCTGATGGTTCTTTTGTTTTATATGTATTCCGACATGCACCTGCAAACAAATTAATTCAATAGTAGTATATTTAAAAAAGTATTTAAGTTTGTTCGCATATATTTTATAAAGATTTCTTAACTTTAAAAACAAAAACACGGAACTTACACCCAAAGTGATTTGCTGTGTTGGAAATCAGACATGTTGACGACGTGTAGTGTAACAACGAGCCCGTATTTTCGATTATGGCCGATAGGCTGCTAGCAATTGAACTATTTATATCACTGGATTTACAGGTAATTCTATTACCACAACTACTTATTCGATGATTGTTGCCACTAGTGTTGCTGGAGGCTAGCAAAGAATGATCCAACGAAGGAGCAACTGTATTTTGAATCACATTCTTTTCGATGGCTGTAGACGATATTGAAATTGAAGGAACTGCTTCTTCCGTGTACGATATTGAAGCAGAAACATACTCTCCAGAGACGTCGGTGCCGTTTCCATTTTGTACAGAGCAAACTATTGATGAAGACGAAGTTGCAATGTCAGTCGAATTAAAACCAGTTCCTTTAAAAAAAGTTATTATTAAAAATTGGCGGAAGTATTGATTTAAGTTTAATGGGCACTATCAATAGTTATTTAATAAATTATCTCTTTTACAATGTGCTTTCGGTTAGCGTAGTGGCAATTGCAGTCGTATCCGAATTTGTCTTCCAGTAAGTAACGAGCTGTTAGTTTTCGCCATTTTTACGCCAGCGACTTTCACATTGATTTCGAATCGGTGCCCCTTCCTTGAGTTGGTGAAGAAGGTCCCCGATAACTTTCCTGTTTGTAGCTGTAAATGTCTTCCAGTAAAGAAGATGGAAAGGTCGTCCACATAACAGTTCACTTTCGAAAATAACTGATATACTTAAATTGGAACGTTCGGCGTTGAGTTTCTAACGCCAGTGAGTGGCAATGAGCACTAACGTTATTAAGTTAAATTTTCTAATTGCGGTCGCTCCTCGGCAGAGAATGTTCACACCCCTGAGCGTTTTTCGGACGTGAAATAAAGCTCCTCATAAAAAACCATCAGTCGTTCGGAGGCGGCTTACTTTAAATTGTAACTTTGATCTGTTTGTTGGAGAAACATAAAGACGCAGAACCACAATATGGAGGAATAGCACGTCCGAAAAAATCGATTCAGCGGTTACAAAGCGCCAATTATTTATATATATATATATATTATATAAAGCTCATATACACCACTGTAATTTACACGAATTTCAACAAGGAAGAAATGCTACAGAAGCATGTAGAAATTTGGTGAAGGATGGCGACCGAAGTAGTTGTTTGTTAAGGTACAGTTTCTGATAGGATGATACAGGTGATTTCGGAGGTGATAAGGCATGTCTGGGCGCCCATCATTGATCAAGATCTTTCTCTGACAACAGCGGAGATCGCAGAAAGGTTTAGTTCAGCTCAACAAGCATTTTCTGACCATTTTCGGAAGATAGGATTGGTGCTTTTTTGCGGGGAGTTCTTCTTCATTACTCTAACATGAAGAAAAGTGCTACCGAAAGCCGTCGTATTTTACTGGACGGGTATGGTGACCATGCTTTCTAGCAACGAACGTGCCAAAAGTCGTTAGCACGGCTTAAAAGTGGCAATTTCGACTTAAACGACGGACAGCCAAAAAAAATTTTCAAGACGAAGAAGTGGAGACATTGCTCGACGCAGATACATGCCAGAATCAAAAGATTGCAAAGGTATTAGGATTTGAGCAAGCAACCGTTTCCAGACGATTAAAATCATTTTTTCACAGCAAAGTCTTAATTTTCGGAAAGAACCGCACGAATTAATGCATACGCTATATGTTGTTTTATTCACCTTCACCTTCCTTTAATACTTTTATCCTTCAGACCCAACTTCCATCATATAAAATATAACGCGTAGTCAAAACTTAAAATTTCATTTGTTTAACGTTGGCCCCCCGTTATTGTGGGATGACACTTACAAATTGTATGGCCATGAGGATATTTGACACATTTTAAAGGCTCAACGCTTTATTTTATGTAAAGTCATTTAATTTGATCAGGCTCCTATATCCAGAAATCATCGCATATGCGATCAGTGAAACGCCCTCTGGTCAAGGAGAGAGCTTCGATATGTAAAAGATAAAAAAAACAATGGGGTGAGAGCACCACTATGCAGAACTCCATGTTTTATGTTGTCTCTGAAATCCTACTGATGATTGTCGCCCATACACGTAACCTTCGGCCAACATATTTAACTACGGTAATAATGAAGAGTGTTAAATGTCCCATAGTACTACTGAATGATTGACGGTGACAAAAACTCTTGAAAATTCATTGATACTACTAAAAAGCTAAAACAAGCGCTTCGATTAGAAATTTAGGGTGGCTTTCCGTGATTTGGCATGCCGGGATGAAGCGGGTGGCAGCGGATACGAATATCTTGCGGAAAAAACTTCACCAGTATTGATGTTGAAGAGGGGAGAGCTCTGAAAGCGATCTCAGTGAATTCCCTGTATCTGGGCCAGTTAGCTTCTATAATGTTATTTCATTGGTTCACGAAAAAAAAACTGTGGTCTGCTATTATGAATAAGCGTCAGGATAGGTCGAAAGGTTATATTATTTATCAGACTAGCACTAAAAATTGTCCTGTCTAAGGGGCAGTGGTAATCACTCACAATTGTACTGGAGCGACGTCGTTCATGGCGCGAAATGTCGAATAGTCTATCTGTTTGGCAACTCCATTCTTCTACGGTCATTTGACAGGGTAGAATGGCGAAGATCGTTGCGCGTATTATCAGGGATATATCCAACTTCATGACTTGTAACATGAAGAATGTATATATTAAACATTTCGTGCTCGACATCACCTGACCGAATACTGTGTGTCCCAAAAATAACCGAACTTTTTGGATATAAAATAAAATAACCATTATATTATCTTTGAAATTTATTATTTATTCAAAATGGGTTCCACTGCCTCGACTCAACGCAACGTTTGGAACGTTCGAGCGATTTTTTGGTCGTCATTTAATTCATGTGGAACAAATCGAGCACAGAACTTTCTTTTCCACAAATCTTCAGTTAAAATTTTCCAAATAGTGGTTTTACTCGTATTCAATTCCTCAGCCAACATTCTCGTAGTAAAATTTTCATCGATATCAAAGATTTCACGGACTTTTTCCACCAGTTCAGCACGATTACTAGCTTCTGGACGTCCTGCTCTAGGGTCGTCATTTAAATCCTCACGACCATTTTTATATAGTGTAAACCACGTATAAACTTGCGCACGACTCATACAATCATCACAATAAACTTTTTTCATTAATTTTTTTTTCAAGTTTGACACAAAATTTTATATTTGCTCTTTGTTCCATTTTATTTTTGAACCATCAGCACACTTTTGGTTTTATTGAAATGGCTGTCACTTTTACATTTGTCATTCAACTTACATTATGTTAGGTGCGTTTGAAAGAGGATGAATGTATCTCTTTAATGTTGCAAATTTTCAATAGGTAGCGCAGTATTTTGTATGATTTAAACCTAAAGTTCGGTTATTTTCAGGACACACCGAGGTTAATCAATCTAAATCACCGAGGTCATCTAACAGGAGGTCCAGGAACCGAACATTTTCAACAGGTGTAGACCAAAGCGAGAGGGGAGTTAGAAGCGTTGAGTTCAGGGAGAATGTAAAGGGATGGTTAATGCCTTGCGGGGTCTCATTACGTGTAGGACATACGTTGGGTATGTTGGGGTCAAGTCTGGATAAGTTAGACTTTTACCTAATACCAATCATATCCAGACCTGAGTTTCGCCAGTATTACGCGGGTTTTTCGAGGCAGCTCAAACTCGTCGTCTGTTATGGGTGGTGCATTTAACTCCAAGTACCGCAGTCACAGAACGGGAGTCTATTAATGTGTTAATTAACTCCTGCCTGACTGTTGGCCGCGGTTGTTGAAGTTATTGCTGAATAGTCTCTCTTAAGTCTAGTAAATATCTTTCTGTAGGTTCAGCCTGCAAGTGAAAGTTTCATGTTGCGGTGCTAAGGCCGGTGGTCGAGTAAACAGTGCAGGCCGGAGAGAACACCATCCCGTAGAACCACTTGTGTAAATCCTGGCCAGACTCCAATATCGAGCAATCATCATGAGGTCAGGGAAACCCCTTCTGATGGAGGGAGTTTTAAAATATAGAAATGAAACAATAGTGAGGAGTGAACACCATCCCGCAGAACCACTTGCGTAATATTCTTTAGTTTCGGTGTTTCGCCTCGAAATTTTACCGAAGATTAACCACAATTCAGACAGCCAGTGATACCCGGCGGTAACGAGGATTTCTCAATGTCCGATAGCAGCACTGAATGGTTGACGGTGTCAAATGCTACCAGTACAAATCGAGCGCAGGGCAGGTTTCGGTTAAGACCATTAACTATCTGAGTGCTTATGGCGTTTAGTGCTTTTTTGGTACTATTCACATTGCGTGTGTGTAAACGTTGGGAGCAGTTTGGCCTCAAGTATTACGAAGAGAGAAGAGAGGGATATCGGACGGAGATCGTGATGCGCGTTAAGGTCGGTCAAAGCCAAACGGTTTTCGCCTTAGTGTAACGCGCCTATATCAGGGTTATATCCAACTGGGAAACTTGTTACAAGAGGAATGTATATACTAAATAATTCGAAATCTACATCGCCCTACCGGATAGCTATGCCCTGACGTTCTGGGGTAGTATCTCAGGTCTATGTCGCCATCGATGAGACAATATTGCCCGGTGTTGTGTAAAATGACCGCCAAGCCTCGTCATAGTCTCACTTGCGGTATAATGTTGCAGAAAATGTCCCTTGCAGTTAACTGTAACAGTCGCGTCTGTCTGGGGGGGTTCGTACACGAGAGGTGATGGCGTGATGAGGGGGTGCAGTGTCTTGTTGCTGTAATACTTGCTGGATAGGATGCCACACGTTGGTAATGATTGGCGGCGATGCTGAAGATAAAGGCAGGGGCAGACTCCTACAACATGAGACAACGTACATACGTATTACTCCACTGGCGGGTGGTGCCAGGACACGTCTGAAAGTGGCACCAGCCAGAGCAGGAGTTACATCTGACTGATATCATGTTGACTAAGCGGAGGACCAGAAGCTGCTGGGTAGCCCTCGTACGAGTGGAGAAAGAGGAGCTGGTTGTGGGTGAGGCTAGAAGCAATGGCTTCAGCAACTTTACCCTGGCTACCGAATCTTAGACCTCTACGGTCGCACAAAACTTTCCATAGCCTCCAACCAATCAGTCATGCTATGGAAAGTTTTGTGCGACCGTAGAGGTCTAAGATTCGGTAGCCAGGGTAAAGTTGCTGAAGCCATTGCTGTGTGTTTTAAGGACAGAGCAGACCTTAAAATGGGTACACCCATCGCACTAGTCAGATATAACCGAGATAGAGGAATGGTCGAGTCCTTTATGGCACACGCAGCAGATATAAACGTCGGACCAGGGTTGGTTTCGACGCCAGCCCTCAAAAGAATGAGGTGGTGTAGACCATCTGGGAGGTGTTGCTCTACTAGTGACCTTAGATTAATGTTTTCTTCTGACCTATACGGGGTTATATCGCCGAAAGGGTGACAGCCCTTGGACATGTAAAATCCGGGTCAACTCATGTGCTTAGAACCGGCTGAAAGACGATAAACAGTGGTCCTTCATCGTGGTATCGCTCGCGGTGCTTGCGGTTATGGACCATTCACTATGTGGCTTAATGCCTGTGCAGGACTTGGGACATTGCAATGGATGTATCTAATCGAAATGGGTGTATAGTGAAGCTCTTCAGGGCACATGCACCATACCTGTTTACCTCTACGGGATTATGTCGTTTAAAGGGAGACAGCCGTAGGCCGGATAAAATCCGAGTCAACTCTTGTGGGTAGTACGGGCTTTCGTGAAATCTGTGGTTTTTTTTAGGTACCTATGCTAGAAGTGTTATCGCCATTTGTACTATTGCAACTGCCGCTACCAATGTTCTCCCTATCGCTGAGACCATTAATGCCATTCAGAGGTCTCGGAAGGCGGCGCCGTAACCAAGGGTGTTTTAATGCTTCTGCCGGTATTAAACGTTTTTCTGGATCCCATTCTAAACACCCTCTTATAAAATTTAAAAACAGGGTATCCTTGCATCCATCCAGAGCTTTTGACAGGCTTTTAGAGCATGGTGGTCCCCGTGGTTTTCCTCGCCGAGACTGACCACCTATTAAAACGACTGTACCATCAGTCATGGTGCGCACCGTACAATATCTCGGTAGTCCCTTCGGGTTAAAAAAAACTTTCGCGCGTTTAGCACTGGCAAGCAAGTTTTTGGTAGGCATACCAAGAACTTCAATAATGCAGGCTAGTTGATCACTTTCGTTTTCACCAGGAAAAAGGGCGTGGCCTGACAGTAATTCGGCCAAAATACATCCCAATGACCACATATCGATTGCTCGGCCATATTTAGAGCCAAGTATAACTTCAGGTGCTCGATAAAATCGTGATTGTATGTAGGTATAAACACGTTGACTTTCATAGCATGAAGATCCAAAATCAATGACCTAAAAACAAACAAAGAAAAATCAATAATCAGATCATTTCATTCAGTTGTGTGTATTAATTAAAATTAAAATTTTTTTTTTTTGGTATTTTCCTAAATCAAGATTATACAAAATTTCAAAGAAACAACATTCACATGCAATTCAAACAATTAAAAGAACAGCATTCGTAACCAAAGTGCAATTTTCAGAGATGATCATCGCTCACTCGACAAAAACTGTCCGAATTACAAGCAAAGCAATTTACAAATATAAATAATTCATATATGCTCGCTAAGGAAAGGACTTAAAACCATACAATCAAGAAAACAAACACTTACGTCAAACTAGCTGAATAAACACGCACACATATGATCATTTATAACACCATAGTTAATAAATTGCCCTCAATTTACCATCATAATTTACCAGTACTTCAACAATCAAAAACAATAATAATTCAGTAGCAATTCGGATGCGTTCACAGACTACGAGTTCGGATGTGGTCACAGACTACGAGTTCGGATGTGGTCACAGACCACGATTCCAGAGCGTTTTCCGTGCTTCGTAACATTTCTTAAGCGCCTCGACTGGGATTTCCCCGAGTACCCTTGTCACGGCCGCCTGTGTGTACTCAATCGACTCAAAATGGCTACCTTTGACCAACGATTATGTTCCAGGGAACAAAAAATAAAAAGCCACATGGTGACATATCCGGAGAAGAAGGCGATTGTTGCAACATCGCAATCCCTTTAGAGGCCAAATACTGAGGAGCGATGTCTGGGCGCGCCCTGTTGATTCGTTTGCGCAATATTTCGAGTACTTGGCGATAGTATACATGATTTACGGTTTTAATCTGGCGCAAAATTGTATCGCGACGCGTTGTTCTTAAATTCGCTTCTTCCATTTTCATTTCGAGCAACTGGACGTAAATTATGCTTTGGACGCTGGGAGCCAGCGAGACGCTGAAAAAGAATTTGCAAGAACAAGGCCCTCAAGATCGTGTTGGATAACACCGGCGACTCACTTACAAAGTGAAACATCTATGCTCCATGTTAAGGACAATAATGTTCTGTGTGAGCAGTGTCTGCTGAGATGCTACATCGATTTCATACAGCAACTTAGCCTTATCCGCTAGGCAAGACAGCATACCGACAGGATTCAGACGCTGTTTACCTTGCGTCGGTCAACACTTTCATAAAGCTCTTCCTTTGAGGTGCGTTTTCGGAAGCCATACGCCATCTACTAAAGACCAAGAGCTAAAGACACAATTGAGATCTGGACAATGTAGTCGATTCAATTTGTACATATCCAGACTTTACAACCACATACCCAACGCATGCCTTAAGCGGGGTTGGTCAAGCTTCTTCCGGATACCAAAAAGCACTGACACAATTGAGATATGGATATTGTATTCGGCTTAATTTGTACATATTCAAACTTAACACCCACATACTCAACAGTGAAACCATTCTAACACTCGGTTAATAAACGTAATTCCGTCATCTTTCTCAACAACTACTCAACTACTCGCCAACCTTCAGCTATTACATTTCTTACCTAACACTCATCATAATCATATTATACACCTCAAAAACACACTTGGAATATGCAATAAAGCATTTCCGAAATATATTTTGTCGTGCGCAAATTTATGGCTTAAAAGTTATTAACATTTAAAGTTACACTTTTTAAATACAGACAAACTATACCAGGAAGGCGTTGCCACTCCAAATGATCTACAAATTAACAATAAATATGCTGAAGCATAAGATAAGAAAACGTATGTTGCCACTCAAATAGAAAAATAAGTCGGACGAACACCGGCTTTACTTTACACAATATTATTAAGTGAAATTTCTGAGTAAGTTGACTGCCGTCGGCCACGTTTTGGATTGTAACCCTGGGTCTAACTGGCTTCGCTTTGAACAGTATTCTTAAGAGAAAATTCTTTGCAAGTTGGCGGCTTTCGACCGCGTTTTGGATTGTTATCTGCCCAAGAGCTGTCACCATTTCGGCGAACTAACCCCGTTTAGGTCAACAGGTAAAATTAGTCTAAGTTCGCCAACGGAGCAACACCTCGCAGCTAGAATACTCCAAATAATTCTTATCAGAGCTGGCGCCGAAACCAGCCTTGGTCCGACGGATTACTTCTGCTGCGGTTAGATCTAAGAGGGGTGAACTTATCTTAAGGCCTGCCCAGGCCTTCCTCCAGGGCAAGTTCGGCGAGATAGTCGACTACTTGAGCCGGGAGTACCTGTCAACTGCTGCGATCCAGGCCGGATACATCATAATCCGTAAGGAACGCGAGCGAGACCATGGTGGGGTCTTAGCGATAGTAGCGAGCCCGAGATATTTAATATGTGCACTCCTCCTGTAACAAGTTGCCCACTCGGGCTCAAATCCTCGTGCCTTCAGACGTTCGGACGCGGCTTAGTATAAACTGTAGGTCCCTCCATTTGTTGGAAAAACATCAAGACGGCAAGCGGTTACAAAACGCCTGTTATATATAACATATGATTAAATATTATTCTTTTGAGAAAATAGTACAATACAAAGAAAACTTTATAAGAACCATCTGTATGGTGGGTACCGAGGAAAAACCCTCACATCTCTACGCAGAGCCAAAAGCGTCGATTGGAATTTGTAGAAAAATATAGAACTAAGGACATATTTTTTCTGACACAACCAAGTTCGTTTTCGAGAAGAAAACATACTAAAGTTTGGCGAAAACCAACCCAAATGTTTGAACAGAAAAACATCACATCCACATGCATGGCGGAAAGTGGAGTGGGAAGGATGGTGTTTATTGATAGCTATGTGAACAAAATTGATTATCTAAACATTTTAAAAGAAAAATTGTATCCTAGCGTTGATAAATTTAGCTCAGATCAATGGATCTGGATCTTCCAACAGGACAACGATCCCAAGCATACGGCAAGAATAGTAAAAGAATGGTTGCTTTACGGTACACTTAAGCAACTGGATCATCCCCCACAACCAACGGACCTCAACCTAATTGAGCACCTGTGAGAGCATTTGGACCGCCAAATAAGGAAGAAATATATAAACAGCAAGAATACACTGAAAGAAATTTTGATAGAATGGTCTTAAATTTCGCCGGAAGTGGAATCAAATCCAATTAGAGAAAATATTAGATTATGAATTTCTTAATTATTCCCAAACTGTACACTTTGTTTTGACGCGTAAAATACTAAGTATTTTTGGTTTTGTATGTGTTGTTTTGATTCTTGTAAAACTTTCTCTTGGTTGTTAATTTCTTGTAAGACCAATGTTTAGTCATTTGTAAATAATAATGGATTTAACAAATTTTAATTTCTAACATCGAAATAAAGAGTAAAATGTTTGAGAAAAAGGTGTACACACAACTGTCGAACGTTTATCCCGCAGGGTTGTTGTTGTTGTTGTAGCGGTTCACTAGCCCCGCTTAGGCACAGGTTTGGTTAGTCTAAGTCGCCGAGGTAATGGTAAGCCCAGGAAACGAGCGGTTTCGACGGGGTTGGACCAAAGGGAGAGGGGGGTTAAATGAGTTGGTTTGAGAGGGCATGTGAAGAGGTGGTTAGTGTCGTGCAGAGACTCTCCACACGCAGGGCATACGTTGGGTATGCTGAGGCCTAGTCTGGATAAGTAGGAGTTTAACCTGCTACAGTATCCAGACCTGAGTTGTGTCAGAGTCACGTGGGTCTTTCGAGGCAGCTCGAGCTCGTTGTCTGCTATGGGTGGTGATATTTCTCCGAGTACGCCATTCACTGGAAGGGAGTCCTTGAAGGTGTTGACTGACTCCTGGTGAATGGCGTTCAGTGCTTGTCGGTACGCCGTTCTGTCCAGCGGTTGTTGTAGGTGTTTCTGGATTGTGTCCTATAGGTCTAGTACTCACTTTCTGATTTGCCTAGCATGAAGTTCAGCCTCCATTAGGTGCCTACTGGGGTGCTTCCTGTAGCATAGATGTTTCCCTGTGCAAGTGATGCTCCGGCAACATCAGGAGGTTTCTTGTGGCGGTCCTGAGGGCGGTGTTCTGACAAGCCTGTAACTTTTTCATCTGCGTCTCGTTCGTCCCCGGCGCCCAGATCGGTGCAGCATAGTTTACGACCGGCCGGCCAATTGCTTTATAAGTAGCCAGCAAAGTTTCTTTGTCTTTACCCCAGGTGCTGTCGGCTAGCGCTTTGAGTATTTTGTTGCGGCTCTGGAGTTTCGCGGCAATTGCGGTCGTATGCGGAGTGAAGGAGTGCAGGCTGTCTAGGGTTACTCCCAATATTTTTGGGTTATTTACCGTCGGAATTTTTGTGTCATCGACCTTCACATCTAGTTCAAGCCTGTACTCCTTCATCCAGCTGGTGAAGAGGGTAGCCGAGGATTTTATCCCGCAGGGTCGTCGTGACCGCTGCCTCCCGCTTCATCCTGGCAGGCCGAAGCGCGACTCCTTCTGAAACTTCGATCCCAAGAATCCCTTAATCAGGACTCCTCTGGGGTAACCAAGCTCTGGGCTACAGTCGACAGACCTGAAAAAATGCGCGATAAACAAAACGAAGCGACGTGTAACCCACCCCACGCGCAAAGTGCCAAACACCAGATCGACGCTTTACTTCTCAGGGAAAAGGTTCAAAGGGTCATTGGGGAAGCGAAAGCCTCCAAATCCATTGGCCCCGACGGAATAAGCATGCTGATGCTAAAACATCTCCCCAGTATCGAAGACACTTGAGGCCTTGCTACTCCCGACCTTTACTCACCATCTGCTTTAAGCAGCACAACAGCATGGCTTCCGAAAAGTGCACAGAACCACAACCGCACCAAACGCCATAAGCACCCAGATAGTCAATGGCCTTAACTAAAACCGACTCTGCGCGCGAACTGTTCTGGTAGCACTGGATTTGTCAAAAGTTTTGACACAGTCAACCAGTTAGTGCTACTCATTACCGCCGGGGTTGCAGAGGTGTGTCATGGGCTCCGAAGTGGTCTAAAATCATCGATAATATTCGGAGGTGAAACATCGAAACTCAGGAAAATTAAACGCAGGGTTGTGTCCTCTCCCTGCTTCTGTTTAATTTTTACATTTCGGAACTCCCTCCGCCACCAGAAAGAGTTTTCCTAGCCTCATGAGCCCATATGACGATGATTGCACGATAATGGCATAGCGAAAACTACCAATTTCTTTCTTTCTTCAAAGGAAGAGGTTCAGGGGGTCATCGGGAAAGCAAAAAATCTCCAAATCCATCGGCCTGCCGGCATAAACATTCTGGTGGTACAACATCTTGGACCAGCGGGAGCAGACTTTCTCTTTTTGACGATCCTGATGTTAACCGAGGGTAGAGTCGTCCCGCTACTCAAGCCGCGGAAACCATCTAACAAAGAAGTCTTATCGATCGATAACCGTTATCATCCTAAACCCTTGAGGCCTTGCTGCTTCCGACTCCCACGACAGTACTAAACGTCATAAACACCCATATAGTCAAAGGTCTCAACCAAAACCGACCAGGCGGGCGAACTTTCCTGGTAGCACTAAATCAGTCAAAAGCATTTGGCACCGTCAATCATTCAGTGCTACTATCGGGCATTGAACAAGAGTGGTGCCCTCTCCACTACTGGTTGATTTCTACATTTCAAAATGGTTCGCATCGAGCATCGGGGACAAACGAGACGCAGATGAAGAAGTTACAGGCTTGTCAGAAAACTGGAGCATCACTAGCAAAGCGAAGCAAGCTTTGCTGAACCTTTTCCCGGAGAAATCAAACACCGTCCGACGGGTTAGACAGCGACTTGACTGTAGCCCAGAGCTTGGTTGCCCCAGAGGAGAGGTTGCAGGTCCTTAAGTATTCCTCCTACTTTTTCCGCTTCTGGTTGTTGACTACTCTTCGAATCTCCGCATTTAAGCCTCGATGCTAGTATCGCCGCTCCTGTCGGAAAATTTGGCCTGCCAGGATGTAGAGGGCGGCAGCGGTCGCGACCACTTTGCGGAATAAATGCTTACCAGTGGTAACGCCTAATAGAGTGGGAAGAGCACTGAAGGCGTTCTCACTGAATTCCATGAAGCCAGGCCAGGCATCTGATTGAGGTCATGTTCCGACGCACTATGGTCTGACACACGGAACAGACTGTGCGGGGGCCTGGGATCTGATGGATAGCCCTCGCACGGGAGGAGGATTAGGAGCTGGTTGTGGGTAGGGATGTGGTGGGGGTTGGTGGGAGTCATGCTGTGGGGAGCTCCGTGAGACCGTAGAGGTCTGTTGATTACTCTAAGTGGGTAAGTGTGGACAACACTGCCGTGGAGGGTGAGGTAGAGCTTGGGCACTGGCAGCATGGCGCCGCATAACTTTTGATCCACTCCCTATGGGTCTTAAGGCCTGAGCAGGTCTTAAGATGGCTCCAACCATTGCACTGGTTGCACATAACCAAGGTGGAGGAGTGGTGGAGTCCTTCGGACCAGGGTTAGATTCGACACCAGCCCTGATAAGAAGGATTTGGAGCAACCCAGCTGCTAGGTGTTGCTCCGTTGGCGAACTTAGACTAATGTTACCTGTTGACATACGGGGTTGGGTCGCCGAAATGGTGACAGCCTTTGGCCGGATAAAATCCGGGTCAACTCTGGTACGTAGAACCGGCTGTCTTGAGTCTACCGGTAGATAATCTCGGTGACTTAGATTTATTTTAAGCCTGTCCCTACTACAACAATGCATAGACTGTCAAACCAAACCTTTTAAAATTAGATACGACTGGCTTTCTTTAATACCAGGCCTTATAAAAAGTTATGACTTCCAACGCCTTCGTTGGGACTTGTTTCACAAACAGGTGGCATATTGCCACTACTTCCGACCATAAACATTCACTAAAGCTTGTTCTGACGAACATACAACGTGCCATCTCCACTAAAGTTTTGTTAAAACGTTCATTTACGTCATTCTGCTGCGGATTTCAGCAATACGAAATGGTTGATAGCATGAATTCATATAGAAGCATAGCTTAGTTGCCATACAATTTAGAATTCAAAAAAGCAAAAATAAAAAAATTATTAATTTAAAAACATGTATATATTTACTATTGTAGGATAAAGAGATGATTATGGCAATGGTGATAAATAACCGTTTAATATTTACAAAATTCTTTTTTCATTTTAATATAAAGCGTTGAGCTTAACAGATATCACCAAAAGGAAGTTTAAAAAAAGTAAAAATTTAAGCAGTAATTTATGTGTGTGTGTGCGTGTGTTTTTTTTAATCATTGTTATTTTTTGTTATTTCTTTTTATATTATTTTAAAAATAGAAATGATCTGAGTATGTAATTATAAGTATTAAATGCAAATATATTATCTTTTTTATACCATAAAAATAAAACAGTTATTGGAGTTGTTCTTTAATAGTTTTTCAAAATAGGTTTTATATAATCATTTATATCAGCTCTTACATTCTAGAATTATATAATGTTTTATTTAAGCGTTTATATAAAGCATTTCAAAATTATTATTTTACTGCTGATATAAAGCTTTAAAAACTGGAAATATAAAAACACATTTTAACTCAAAATAACGCTTTTACCCTTTTACAAATACTTTATTGAAAAGCTTATACATGCCTAATTGAAAATGGATGCGTAATAGTTATAATGCATTCAAATGGAATTGTACCATACGAAAGAGCTAGTAAAAACATTACACCTACAGTAAAGATCCCCTAGAGTTTTCCCAACCAGCTGTACAATATAAACGAAAGCTTTTCAATCTATAAGGGATACCATCTCTTAGCCATATGTCTTATATGAGTGTTTATATAACCCATACTGTTCTTGCTTGGTTGGGTACAGCAGTTCTCAAGGTACAGGGTAACACCATTATCAAGCGATGCAGATCTCTGTGGCTAAGCATTATATTATATCGTCCAGTAATATATGGATATTCGCGAACTTGGTGGAGTTAATTCAACTTTTTATGTACGTACCTTTATTCCTGAGCGTCCTTGTTGTTTTAGTAATACATTTTCCGGTTTCATATCGCAGTGAATAATCTCATTTTTATATAATGCATCCAAGCATTGTAACAAGGAGTGTGCAAATTTTCGTACAAGCTGAAGGCTAAAGCCTTTAAATCCATTTTTTTTCATCAGCTCATACAAATTTATATTGAGTAGCTCGAAAGTGATACACATGTGGTTTCGAAATGTAAAATAATCAAACATATGTATAATATTCATTGTATTATACTTGTCTTGCCTTCGTAAATGGTGTAAGATTCGTATTTCCTCTTGCGCTTGCCGGTGAAATCGTTTTTCATTTCGAACCATTTTTAGGGCGACATGTTCGTGGGTCTTATGGTCATATGCTTTGATTACTTGTCCAAAGCTACCCTTTCCTATAACTTTTAGCATTTCGTAACGGTAAGCTACGTGATCATGCGGTATGTGTAAATATGCGCCCTGTTCGTTGTCATAATCGGAATTATTTGGACCAAATATACCAGGACGTTTCTTTGCATTTGCTCCAATAAAGTATATTTGTGGATATGCTAATATTTCAGTGCGTTCATATGGTGTTAATTTATGCATATATAGTATCATAACCTGTTGAGGGGATACAACCAAAGGCTTGGGTTTTGCTCGCAAGGAACACTTTTGCTGCCCGGACATAATGATTTGCTCATGAAACAAATATGCATCTCTGGTATCTGATATCGGAACACTTTCAGAGGTTGATGTTTTTATTTTGTCTGTTGGTTTTTGGTCTTTACAAATTTCATCTGACGGTAGATTAAAACCGGTTTCACTACTTAATGCTGTAACGGGCGTTGTGGACGTAGAAGATGATAAACTAACAGCTGTGGAAATCATTCTCGCCAGAGATAAAGCTGCAAAAAGTGTATTAAATATAATTTAATTGAATTGTGTGTAAACATTAAAAAACTAACATGAAACGCGAAAATCAAAAACAACAAGAAATTAGATTAAAGATCAGCAAACTTTAGACTCAAAAATTAGTGGCAACCACAAAAAGCTAGTGCAGAAGTTGAGACGAAAATCGCTTCAACGGCTACAAAGAGGCAAATAGATATTATATATAATATGTATATAGAACAGGGAATATCAACCCCTGCGAGTGTATTTCTGACATGACAGGGCGAGCCCCATGCGGTCGTGCATGAAAATCTTAACCCAATGAAAACATTAAATATGCCTCGGATCCTTTCTTTTGATGACGACCCCCACACATAATTTTAGGATTACTATTTAAGGGTATGCACCGGGAATGTCCGGTCCTTTAATTGGAAAGGTGGCGCTGTCCACCTGGTTGATGTCCTCATAAATGCCTTTAACGAGAGCACCTGGAGCTTGGTGACTTCAACGCATAGAAAGTATTTGTAGGGCAACAGTTGAAAAATTCAGCTTCCCAAAAGGACTGAGAAGCCCGAAATATTGTTGTCGGTAGTACTAGAACCCAACACAAAAAAATTTACCAAACTCCTTGGGTATCTCAAGAACTAAAAACTCTCAACTAAATCAATCATATTGTGAATGACGGACTGCGGTGTCACAGTGGGAAAAAAATAGGTTGCCTACCTCGCACCCTTGCGATCGACCACAACACTTGTGGGGTGGGATAGATACCGAGAATTGAAAATGGAAGCAGGGCGCAAGTGCAAACAAAAAAGAGATGGCGGAATGCTTGAGCACGAAGAGCCCGACAATCTTGCCGACAAGGATAATGCTCGAAAATCTATTAAAAAATACGGTGACTTATTGCAGGTTTCACGACCGGAGCAAACCCTTTTAGGACTCTGAGGGGTGAGCTAGTGGCGAATGCCCAGAGTAAACAGAATTTATGGAGGCAACACTTCTCTAGCATGCTGAATGGCTGTGAAAATGGCACACCGATGGAAAAGTTGAAGAAGTCCGAATAGCTATGGTCCGCCTAAAGGACAACAGAGCGGCGGTAACTGATGGATTACCGACCGAGCTATTCAAATACGACAGTGAAGAACTGATTAGGTCATGCATCAGCTTCTTTGCACAATATGATCGGATGAAAGCATGCCCGAGCATTGGCACAAAGTGTGATCTTGGAAAAGACCTCTGAAAGGAATATATGCCTGGACAACAAGACAAGCTGAATGAAAACGTTATTTTACAAATTAAAAGGGCTATTTTTTGTCTAATATTTATGAGTTAATAAATAAATGTGAATATTTTTATATTCTATATATTATATATTTTTCTTTTTACTTTATCAACTGGCAAATATAATTTGACAAGGTCGAGAAAAGCAGTGCTGCCAAAGTTTTTTCAAACATTGTAACCAGTTCGCCAAAGTACCAAATTCAATTTCGGATGTTAAAAAAGTAACAAAATCTATCAGGTGCACAACCTTGCTTCCGCCGTTTTCCGATATGTAGTTGTACCGGCTGAGGCTTTAAAGTGAGTGTGGACAGTGCCTAACGAATTGTCATCGCCGTTTCAGTGACAGTTGTTCTTGTTTTCGTATTATTCACGCTCGAAAATACCCGTTTATGTGCCTGATTCTCGCCATTTGAGGGAAGTTTTACTTTTCCGTTACCATTCGAAAAAAAAATGCAGCGCATCGAATGCTCTCAGAAACTTACGGTGATGCTGCTCTGGGTGAAAGAACGTGTCGGGAGTGGTTTCAACGATTTAGAAATGGTGATTTCGATGTCGAAGACAACCATGGTGGTGGAAGAGAGCTCTTAAAATCGCGTGAAACCATCACAGGAGATCCGAACACAACTGATGAGCCTTAGTTGCGCGCTAAAAGAAAAGCGGCCACAATATCAAGAGCGACATGACAAAGTCATCCTCCAACACGACGATGCTCGGCCTTACGTCGCAAAAGTGGTCAAAAAGTATCTGGAAACGCTGAAATGGGAAGTTTTGCCACACCCGCCATATTCCCCAGATGTCGCCCCTTCTGACTTCCACATATTCAATCCAATTCAATCCAATTCAAATTCAATTCAAATTCAATTCAAATTCAATTCAAATTCAATTCAAATTCAATTCAAATTCAATTCAAATTCAATTCAAATTCAATTCAAATTCAANTCAATTCAATTCAATTCAATTCAATTCAATTCAATTCAATTCAATTCAATTCAATTCAATTCAATTCAATTCAATTCAATTCAATTCAATTCAAAACAGCAGAGTAAAAATACAGACACCCAACATACATACAAGTTAACGCATAATAAATTATTTATCATTTTTCCTTTGCTATAATATAGTGCATTACATACTTACAAGTTAACACATAATAAATTGCTTATCATTTTGCCTTTGCTATAACATAACGATTTACATATTTACATTCTTTTGACAATCGACAAAATAAATGCCATAACCGAATTGTCGCTGACACTTCAGTTAAAGTCAACTCCGCAATAAAAATTCCCACAGGTGAAGTTTTAATTGCTGACTAATAGTATTTCATATTTCCTGTTTTGCAATCGAATTCAAAGAATTAGCGCAGCAGTTAAATTATTGGTCACCAACCAACTGCACGCGCATCCGGTAAAATGCTAAGTGCTGATGTCAGCGTCTGGAACAAGAGGAGGAGGCAAGTTGTTGTTGCCTAAAGTAACTAAATCCTAACTATATTAATTTAATTATTCAATTGGGAAATTTTGTCTCATTTCCGCAGTGTTGGGCGTAATTATAAACAACAATTACGCGCCCGATCAAATAAAAAATTACCCGGTTACTAAAACTCAACTCTAAAAAGAGGCACTCTATAAATATTAGTGCCACAAATAGCTAAAAATCAACTCTAAAAAGTGCCACTCTAAAAATTGGCACTATTATTATATAAATAACTAAAAATCACCTCCAAAAAGTGCTACTTTATAAATATTAGTGCCACAAATAACTAAAAATAAACTCTAAAAAGTGCCACTCTATAAATTGGCACTATTATTATATAAATAACTAAAAATCACCTCCAAAAAGTGCTACTTTATAAATAATAGTGCCACAAATAACTAAAAATCAACTCTTAAAATTGCCACTATATAAATAAAAGTGCCACGAGTAAATAAAACTCAACTCTTAAAAAAGTGCCACTCTATAAACAAAAGTGCCACAAAAATTCAACAATCAACTCCAAAGAACTCACCAACCGAGGAACGAATATCCCAGGAAGAGGCCTAAGTAGCAGAGGCTACACTCACAGGATAAAAGCAGGATGCAGACTCACATAGTAATGTAAGGTTACTGAAATTAATAAAACAAATTTTTTTTTGAAACATTTTTTTTTAAATTAAAGGCAATTAAAATTTTAAACCAAATTTTTTTTTCTTTTTTTTAAATTTCTAATTACAAAAATAGATTTAAGGAAAAAAGAAGTTTTCTTTCTTTTAGACCTTCATAAAAAATATATATATATTATACATATATATAAATCAATATGGCGAACCCCAACAATCTAGTAGGTCCATCTTTATTAGGGAATCCAGGCGTGAACCCAAACTCAGACCAAAACCCACAGCCAGGCGCAAGCCCTGCCTTACTACCCACACCCGAACTACAAAGTCTAGTAACGAACCTAGTGACTCAGATACTTAATACCGACGGACGGACTATAATTCAAAACATAGTAGGTGCCATCTGTCAACCCAATACCAGTTACAGACCAGATAATCGACGAACGGCATAGGAACAATCTCACCGAGATTGACAAGCTCCCCGACGTAGTTAGGTCACTGGGGGAAGAAAAGCGTGCAAAGTATTCTCCCTATTTACGAACACACAAGAGGAACACCAAGATACTTCGGAATATTAAACGTTATAAGAAATAAGATTGTAGGAAGCGCTCACATCGCGCTTGAGTCATACAATACGCCACTAGATTGGAGGGCTATTTCAATGTGTCTCACAACACATTGCACGGACAAAAGAGACCTGGGTACATTAGAATACCAAATGACAGGTCTGATTCAGGGCAGAAACTCAGTTCAGGACTTTTACCAAAAAGTATATTCCCACCTTTCATTAATCTTAAACAAAATCGGATGCATGGAAGTGAGCCAGGAATTCATTAGACTCCTTACGGAAACGTAGAGGATAAAAGCCCTAGACACATTTGTTCGAGGCCTTAACGGCGACCTACCACGTTTATTAGGAATGAAGGAACCCAAAGACCTTCCAGAAGCACTTCATTTGTGCTTGAAATTGGGAAACCAAAAATTTAGGAGTACCCACGCTAACCAACAGAACGGATTCGACAATTACAACTTTGGACCACCACTGCCACCTCGAAATTATTCAAAATCACCAAAGTTCTATCCGGAACTTGCACCTTTACCACAACCTCAACAACGATTTATGTCTTACCAAGTAGCTCAAAGACCAAATATTTTCAACAGATCACTATACCAACATGGACCAAACCAACCAACAGGATTATGCCAATACCCACAAGGATACCACAATTATAATCAGCAGCAGACAGAGAGAAATCAACACTATAACCCACAACCAAAACCGGAGCCGATGGACATTGACCCTAGCATTAGAACAAATGCCATCAACTATGCAAATAGACCCAACCTCAAATAGGCTGTTAGAAGACAACCCGATTCAAACCTAACAAACCCGCCTAGGAAAGCCCAAAGAAATTTTCATGTAAGCACTAGTCCAGAACTAGGTAAAAACAGCTTATCTTCAGTTAAAGATCTGAAAAGCGGTTTCCATCAGATTCCGCTGAAAGAATCTGACATCGAGAAAACTGCTTTCTCAGTGAAAGATGGCAAATACGAATTTACACGTTTGCTTTTCGGTCTCTAGGACGCCCCCGCAATTTTTCAAAGAACTTAAGATGATATCCTAAGAAAATATATAG